AGTAACCACGAAGTAAAATGGAGAAGATAGTCGTCAGGAAGTGCAACTGCCTCGTGCACCCGATCGAGAGTCATGCCATTTCCATGTCCTTATATCATTACGTCCAATTTCGTACAATCTTAGCCTCCTTTTCAAAATTTATTTATTAGTACATTCTGATCTTCCTCTCGCTAATTATCTTTTTACGTCTTGTTAGTTATATCATAAGCTCGTTTAAATGTTACATGAACAATTCACACACGTATATACGTTTGTATATGTATACCACGAGCTGTGAGATTTATGGTTCTTATCAAGACATTTTTTTTTTTTGAAAAAAAAAAGTTCTTATCAAGACATGTCTATATGTTTTACACCTTATATTTTTCTTTCGCATTATGTCATCCAATTACGCAATTTAATATTTATCTAAAACTAAGATTCTTGTTGTTAAGGCTGTGTTACTCAGATATTAAAAAAAAGGTTTTGGTAGTGGTCCACACAATTGTATTTTAATGTGGAACTTTTAGAGATTGCAAATGATAAGGTGGTTGAGTTTGTGTACATTACATGGGGACAACTTTCTGGAATCCTATAGGTATATTATTTAATTGAAGCCACCTGGATTTATGCGTAATACCTAAACACACTATGCCAAATAGGCAAATACTAATGACTACTTTTGCTTTAATTCAACTATGTTGACATGAAAATACGTATCAATTCAAAATATTGTACTTAGAGGTTTCAGTTTCACCTTCGCATGCATATACTCCAACATTAATCTTTGTTACATATTTCACATTCAAATATTTCCTTTCACACATAAGCTTTTATTGGCAAAACATTTAAATGAGTATCATGTTCTTTATCATTAAAACTCGATTGGTAAACAATCATTAGTAGAGCATTTAGTAAATGTTAATGCTCTCCAAATGCTCTTACCTTCAATGCTCCTAAAGAGAGCTTTTCCAGAGTATTGACCTAAAATATTATTAAAAGATATTAAAAAAATATTAAATAACTAATTTTTTAATATACAAGATCAAAAATAATTTATATTAACTTTTATTTATTTTAGTTAATATTTATCATTATTTTATTAGTTTATTATTTTAAAATAATATCAAAATTAAACAATATAATTTTGTTAAATATAATTTAAATTTGAAAATATTATAAAGAAATTATGTTTATTAAAATTAAAACCTAATATTTAACATTAGTTTATTTTTTTCTATTAGTTAAATAATATTATAATAAAATAATAATTTAATTAAAAAATAATTAAATAAAAAAAGTTGTTATAACTTATGACTAGTATATATGTAATGTACTAGAATACATATAAATTAATATAATAAAATAATTTATTTAATTTTATATATAGTTATTCACAGCTCTGCCAATCACTAATGCATATTAATCAGAACATACTGTTCATGCAGCATACTGCTAATGCTAATGCTGCTTCATGCTACCGCTCTGCTATAAGCCATACCAATCAAGGCCTATATATATGTACACACTTATAGCTGTAAGAATTCACAAAACGATTACAAATTATTGTTAGGTCCCGTATAACCGGATATGAAACGCTGCTAGATAATGTCGTATAAACAACAAGATCATACGATCGAAACCCATA